GCACTGGGGCTCCCACCCAGTGGGAGTCCTATACGCCCACCTGGGCGCCACTGCCCAGGCGAGGGCACTGCGGTGCGCGGGGCTTGCCTGCATCCGAAAGTGGCAGAGCTGGGGTTTGAACCCACAAGCCTTTTCATCTCCGAAACCCAAATGCTCTATGACTCTACCCTGTTGCCTTTGGCTTCCTCGTGGTTTGGAAAAAGAGGCCGGGCTGACTGGGGAAACTTCCTGAGCTCAGACCTTGAAGTGAGTCTGTTGGAGCCCCTTGTCCTCCAGGGATCTGGATGCAGATGCCCACGGGCTAGTCTCGGCCCAGAGGGCCCCAAGATACTGGTGAAGCTGCAAAGGCAGCTGGTGGAAGTAGTGACGCCCGCCGTGCTCGCAGTGCCGGAGAGTCTGGCTGGTGGGAACTCAGGAGCGGTGTTTGCTGGCTAACAAGAATGTGTTTAATGCCGGTAGTGGGCTTGCTGCGGAAGTTCCCCACACGGGGTCCAGCTCTCCTCCGTCTCGGAGCAGACTGTGGTCCGGGCGGCCTTGGGGCCACCCCCAGCTGCAAGCCTGACAACTCCATCCCTGCAGCAGGCGGGAGTGGGACCTGACCCAAGTCCAAAGCCAACCAGCATAGGGTTCAGGTACAGCTAGGTTAGAGCAAAGCTGACTTTTGTTCCTAGGAGGTAGGGTTTTCATCAACCCCATTTTACAGACAAGAAAATGGAGGCTAAGAAAGGATAGACTGGATCACTGTTCAGCCATGATTTACGCCCCATATCCATGGGGCAGAATACATTTTTCTGCCCCACAGCTTGGGCCTTGGTCACATGACTTGCTTTGGCCAATAGACTGTGGGTAGAAGAGACAGTAGGCCTCTTAAGAGTAGGCCTGCCCTGGCTGGCGTAGCTCAGTGGATTGAGCGCGGGCTGCGAACCAAGGCATCGCAGATTCGATTCCCTGTCAGGGTACATGCCTGGGTTGTGGGCCAAGTCCCCAGTGAGGGTCACGTGAGAGGCAACCACACATTGATGTTTCTCTCTCTCTCTTTCTCTCTCCCTTCCCCTCTCTAAAAATAAATATATAAAATCTTAAAAAAAAAAAAAGAATAGGCCTGAGGAGATAGCACATGTTTCTGTTCAATGTCTTGCATATTTGTGATCTGTCATGGCAGAATGTATTCCATTGAGCTTCTGATCCAAAAGAAATATGGAGACACATGGGGTGGATTGACCCCAACCCACAGCCTGGAGCCAAGTTCAACTGACCCACAGCCTGAAACAGAGCTACTTAGTTGAGCCCAGCCTAGGCCAGGCAATTGCACTTGACCTAGAGAGCAGTGGACGTGAGACGAAATATTTGCACAGGAAGCGTCTGAGTGTTTGAGGCTGTTTGTTATGCAGCATCACTGTGGCAAACACAAACACTGACTACTACAGAAGTGTTGAGTGACATGATTGAGGGTCACCCAGCTAATGAGTGGAAGAACCAGGGCCAAGAATGTTGGCCTCCTTATGCTATCTAGTGCTTATCTGAAGGCTTCAGCTAGAGGCAGCCAGTAACGAGAACAGGGCAGGGAGTGGGGGTTCTCTGTAGACATTCTCTAGCTGGCTTTCCTTCTCTGTCTAATGGAGAGAGTAAGCATGTGTATCCACACATCTCTGCTACTGCTGGGATTTCACCACCTTGCATCTCACGATTGGAGACGGAGAGGTTTGGGGAAGAAAACCATGTATTAGCGATCTTTCTGTTGTATGAGCTCTAAGGAAACTTGGTAAGACAATTAGACAAAAATCTCTCCCCTTATTGAAGGCTGTTTGATGGGTAAGCTGCTTTTCTGTTAAAAGAGTCTCTTAAGAATGTAATACATTTTTAGGTATGTTTATGGATATGAATTTTCCTTTGAGTATGGCTTTGGCCGCACCCTCTAAGTTTTAGTATCCAATGCTCTCATTTTATTTAATGTCCAAATGGTATGAAATGTCTAAGTAGTATGTAATTTCCTTTGAATTTCCTCTTCAGTTTGAGTTATTTAGAAATTTAAAAAATTTCCACCAAGTTAGAGTAAAAAAAACCAAACAAACCCCAAAACTCTAGCTATTCATTTAAAACTTTTATTTTAGTGTTGAGAATGGGTTTTACTTTAGAAGTTGTTGAAGTTGTCTTTGTACCTGAATACCACGATCATTATGTAAGTGTCCTGTGGGGTTATTATTTGCAAGAGTGCAAGTTTCAGGCAGCTCCAGCTACTCACAATCCAGGTAAAATTAATCACTCACCCCCGCCCCTGTTCCTTGGGGTTATGTACAAATAACTGAGAATTGGGGTGCTTTTGTTCTGAGAGAAAACTGCCCACGGTCCCGCCCAGCCAGGTGTCTGCTCCGTCGGTGACGTGGGGCTCCTCTGAGGAGACGGGTTCTGTCCGTTGGCCCCTGCAGCGTGGGTTGTAACAAACACACGTGAATCCTGCCAACAGGGGGTCCGGTGGAAGGGAAGAGGCTGATTTTTGGTTTATCCACTTTTCTGATTTCCCCACTGCTAATTGCTGCACGGGGCTGTCCAGTTTGTGGATAACATTTGCACTAAAAAATGACCCGGGGGATGCTGAAGGACTCTTTGGTTATGACGAACTTTTCACAAATCAAAGGGCCCTCTGGCTTCTGGCACCGCCTCTGGGCATTTCCTGGCCGGTGATGAGGTCTGGGCTGTTGCCTCATTGCTCTGGCTGGCACCTGGTCCGGTGTGCGGCCTGACAGTCTCCATCGTTTCTTTGCAGGGTTCTTCCCCCGTGACAGACGCTGGCCAGCATCACAGCTATGCTCTGGGGTGGGGGGGGTGGCACTTTGACTCCCCCGTTTTCCGGATGGGGAAACCGAGGCCCGCACAGGTTCAGGCAGCGGTTCGCAAAGGAGACCGCGCCTCAGAAGTTCCCCGGGGGCTTGTTTCTCACGCAGCATCCTGGGAGGGAGCGTGGAGTCACGCTGACTAACGTGAGTCATGCCCTGCCCTCCCAGACTCCCCTCTGGCCTCCCCTGTCAGCCAGCACTTCCTGCCTCCCAGGGGCGGCTGGGGATTCCCAGGGCCAGTGGGAGTGTCAGGGTCCCGGAGGTGAGAGAGGCAGGACCGGGGAGCGCCCCTGTGCGGGGGGCGGGGGAAGCGCCTCCTGCGCCCTGCCGCATGCTTGCAGAGCGCCCGCCCTCATTCCCTGCCCACCCAAGCTGCCCTGGGGCCCAGCTGAGTCTCCTCCAGCCTCCTGACCTCGCTCCTCCTCGGTCACATCTGCAGTGGCCAGACTCCAGCCTCCCCCTGTCCCCTGAGCCCTGGTCAGTGCCAGGTCCTGAGGAAGACTCTGGAGGGGCACATGGTCTGAAGGGGGAAACAGAGTCACGGGCACACCACCTCCACCACCCGCCTCCCCCCACACTCAGAGAACACAGTGGAGCGAGTGCCCAGCCCTCCTGTGGGTTCTTTGGGTGTGAACTACAATCTCGTCAACATGTCCCCTCCCAATGCTGCTTCCTCCAGGAAGCCTTCCTTGACGTCCTCACCAGGACCATCCGCTTCTCTTTGTCCCCATGTCTCTGAGCATCTCTGCTTAGCAAATACTCCATGGGCCGATTCACACAGGTGTCCATCTGTCCTGTCCTTCTCCTTCATCGGCGGCCAGCTTCTTCCGGGACAGGAATTCAGTGCTTTGGAGGCAGAAAGACCCCGGGTCTGGGCTGCTGGCAGGGACCCCCACGCCTGGGGATTGCAGTCATGCTTGGCTTCCTCCCTTTTCAGCTCTCTGGTCCTCGCCCTCCCTGCCTCTGCTCACCCTGTAGGTCAGGCCGAGCTCTGTGACCCTGAACCTTGGTTTCCTCATTTGTTCCATAGGGAGAGTAAGAACAAGCCAGTTTGGGGCGTGTGCAGGTCTGGGGAGACGACACACAGCGCTGGGCACGGGAGGTGAGCCCGCCGAGGCCGGCCCTTCCCCGACAACCCCCAGCCCGAGTGCTTCTGCCTTTGCCGTCCCCTCTGTGGGGTTTGCGTTTGAAGGTGAGAGGAGCTCCTTCCTCCGCAAGCAGAAAGGAAAGAAAGAAGATCCGTGGGGGCCACTGCCCGTGAATCAGGCTGCTCCCCTTGCAGACCGCCCCAAACACCAGCAAATCCCACAGACTCCTTTCTCAGACGGGAAAACAGGCTCAGAGAGAGAAAGGTCCTTGCTCAGGGTCACACAGTGTGGCCCAGGGAGCTGGGCCAGGGGGGCTGGGCCGGGAACCCAGGTCTCCCAACTTGGATGGAATTGTCTAATGTTTTCCTTTTGGGGTCCAGTTTGCGGTTCAGGTCCCGTGGTCTCAGGATTATAGGGCACCTCAGAGGTCTGGCTGGCCTCATCCATCCATTCACTGTGCCCATCACTCTCGTTTATTAAGCAGCTGCTCTGTGCTGAGCACCGTGGCAGTCTTTGAGGTGGCCTGGTGACCAGTTGATGTCTGCAAGTCACAGAAACCTGACCGCGGTGGCTTAAACACAGAACACGGGCGGTCCTGCGGGAGGCAGTCAGAGCTGCAGAGCCTCTTGAGATGTCCTTTTGGCTTCCTGCTCCACTATCCCTAGCTTGAGGTTTCCATCCTTAAGGCACAAAGTGGCTGCTTTACCTCCAGGTGTCATGACAGCATTCCAGGAAGGAAAATTGATGTGAAGATTGGGGAAAAGGGAAGGATGATTCCCTTGTTTTGTCCAGGAAGACAACTGATTTCTTGGACATTCCCAGTAGGAGACTCCTAGTTCCCTCTCATTGGCCAGACCTGGGTCATGTGGCCCAGCTAGCTGCAAAGGAGTCTAGGAGGTGCACCTTTTTTATTAAAAATTTTATTTATTTATTTTTAGAGCGAAGGGAAAGGAAGGAGAAAGAGAGGGCGAGAAACACTGATGTGTGAGAGGAGCAATCAATTAGTTGCCTCTCGCACACCCCCACCTGGGGACCCGGCCTGCAACCCAGGCACGTGCCCTGACTGGGAAGCGAACGAGGGACCCTTCGGCTCCCAGGCCAGCACTCCGTCCCCTGAGCCACAGCAGCCAGAGCATGGGAGATGCATGTTTCTATCTGAGCAGGTTTGCCTGTTTGAGCCAAACCAGGGCTCTGCTGGGAAGGCAGGCGGGGGAGGAATGCACACCCCGCTGGCCGGCAGTGCTCTCACCCACCGAACAGGGCCTCTGACCTCAAGGAGCTCGCATTAGGGGCCACATCGGTTTGGGCCTTTTCGGCGGAGTGCGAAGTAGGAAGCAGCTGGCAGGGGCCCAGGAGAGACCCCCGGTCCCTTGTACTGTCCTCGGGGGCGGCGTCCTGTGCCTGCGCGGTGCCTGGTGCACTGCAGAGGCTCCATCAGTGCTTGTTGCGACAAAGGGGAGGAGTTTCCAGGGGGGCAGTATTTCGGGGTTCCGTGGGCCAGGCCAGCGTTCGCAGTGGTTTACGTGCTGGTCTCCGGCCTTTCGGTGCCGGGCTCTATTAAAGGCCCCGTCTGTGGGAGAGACGGTGTGGGCTGCGGAGGGGCGGATGGCTCAGGTCAGGCCCTCCCTCGACCCTTTGTGGGGAGCTTGAGGGAAGCACGGGACTTAGTCCCCCACGTCGAGACCTCTGCCCTGCCGTGGAGTCAGGAGCCAGAGGGGTTGGGAGTTGACCCTTTCGCTGAGAACAGCGTCAGCTCCCGAGTGACCGGGGGCTTTCCGTGCACTGTCTCGCACACGGAGCACAGCCCCCCCGAAGGTGGGGGGGGCGAGGCCAGCGTGGCCCCCTTGCACAGATGGGAAAGAGTCTCCGTCACTCCCCCAAGGTCCCCGGGCTTGTAAGTGGCAGATCTGGGATTGGAATCCAGGTCACCCAGTCCCTCTGCACCGCGCAGGGTGGCAGGCCGACACCACCTCTCCTTCACCCCGACCCCTGGGCTGTGGCTGTGGGGGCGTGGGGAGGGAGGGAGGGAGGGCAGGGAACGTCTCCCGGTGGGAAGGAAAGGCAGAGGGTCAGGAGGGAGAGGCAGGGCGTGCGGGAAGAGGGGCCAGGCTGCTGGGAGCCCGCTCCTGCCCTACGCCCCTGTGGAGGGCTCGGGCCCTGGGCAGGAGACGGGAGCTGCTGGTGGTGGCATCTCCCTGAGCCTGGCTCCCCCTGCCACCCCGAAGCCGTCCTGGTTCTCGGAGCTGACACACGGGGCCCAGCGCTCGGTCGGTGCTTGCTGGAGGCAGCGTTCTCTCCTTCCTCCTTCCTTTCTTCTGAGACACAGTGATCTTGGCTGCGGCGCTGCGTTCGCTCTATGGGAAAAACTTGTTTTTGTCGGTAAACTCTGGCGCTATGACTCAGAAGACACCCAGGGAGCAGCCTGCTGGTGTCAAGGGGCTGCACTGCTAATGAGCCAATGTTTATAAAGTGCTTTGAAGACGAAAAATTCCACGCACGGGCTGAGGGAGTGAGCTGTTATTTTGGGGTGGGGGGAGGCTGAGGAAGCGGGCGGGGGTGGAGGGAAGGGGCCACGTCCTGCTGAGAAACAGCCCCAGAGCCCCCTGGGCTGTGCAGCCAGGCCGGCTGCGCTCGGCGTTGCTGATGCAGGCGCCTGCCTGGGCAGAAGCACCAGCTGCCCCTTTGTTCAGAGCCCGGCAGATCTGAACTGAACAGGCCGCTTTGGTTTTGTTTGGCTTGCAGCAGGGGGTGGGGGTGGGACATGGGTGGTCCCTCCTGCCCTTGAGACTGGGATCTTTTAGCCTGGGACAGTGACCCAAGACATCAAAGCAGCCCCTTCCCTAGTGCTTGGCACCCATTCAGTAAGTAGCTCATTCATTCATTCATTCACTCACTCATTCATTCAACAAACGTGTCCACCTGTGCCAGACACTGACCAGGAACAGGGAACAAAGGAGACAGTTCCTGCTGTCTTGGAGTTGATGTCCCGGAGGCGGAAGGACCTCTGACAGATGAAGACGTCTGCTGCCCCGCAACGATGAGCTCGAAGGGCGCGGGGGAGGCGAGATGCCGAACATCACGGGCTCGGGAGCGCGGCCTGTCCCAGCCCAGGTCCCGTCCAACCAGGAAGGCTGTTCCAGGAAGCGGGCTACTGGAAGGAAAGGGTGGGAATTTCCAGTTCCCAAGCAAACAGGGAGAGAGAGCACGATAGGCAGGAGAGCGGCATTCGTTAACACATTAGTTAACTAATCCAATACACCTTCAGTGAGTGTCTACTATGTGCCGTGCCCCGGGGACACAGAGGCAATTGATGCAAGTGGGAATCCCAACCCTCTCTCCCGAAACTCACATTCTGTACAACAAGCAAACGAAATGTCTGTAAAGTATCTGACAGCAGTAAGGAAAGGTGGTAAAAACAAACAGGGCCCCAGGGCAGAGGTGCCTGGGAGGCTCCCTCAGGCAGTGCTGTGGACCTGGAGGGCCTCTTGGAGGAGGTGGCCTCGCAGCTGAGCCCTGGGGAACGAAAGGAGCCGGCCAGGGGTAGATGTGGGCAGTGCCAAGGCCCTGGGGCAGGAGTGAGCTCAGCAGGGCCGAGGGGCAGAGAGAGGCCGGTACAGCGGCTAGGGCGCAGCGAGGCCCCAAGAGAGCCAGCAGATATGAACCCCGCAGGGGCCCCTCACGCCAAGTCATGGATCAGCAGCATGGTGCTCACTGCAGATAAAGTAACTCTTCTCCGACAGCAGCTGAAACAGACGGGGGGCGGGGTTTTACTCGGACAGCAAACAGTAAGTCCGGGAAGAGCAGTCACCTGTCCAGGCAGTAGCTTCCAAGTGACGCCACGCCCCCGGCTCTGTCTTCCTTTTCTCTGTCCTCAGCATGGTCACTTGGAACACACATGGCTTCCTCATGGCCACACTTTGGCTGCCGAGCCTCCAGGCCTCATGTCTGTGTTCCAGGCAGGAAGCGGGGGAAGAACAGAAGGTGAAAGAGCAAATGGTGAAAAGGCCTTTTTTCTCCCTCTCTGAATTCAGAAGAGAGAGACTCCCTCTTTCTCTCTCTTTTTAAAGATTTTATTTATTTATTTTCAGAGAGGGAAGGGAGGGAGAAAGAGAGAGGAGGAGAAACATCAATGTGTGGTTGCTGGGGGCTGTGGCCTGCAACCCAGCCATGTGCCCTGACTGGGATTCGAACCTGCGATGCTTTGGTTCGCAGCCCACGCTCAATCCACTGAGCTATGTCAGCCAGGGAGACTCCCTCTCTTTATTCAGAAAGGGAACTGCTCTCTGGGAACTTCTGTTGTATCTCAGTGGCCGGAACCAGGTTCCACTGCCACCACGAGCTGCAAGGGAGGCTGGGAAAATCAATGTTAAATTTTTGCTTTCCTCTGCAGTACAGGAAGGAAAAGCAAATATCGGGAGAAGGGAGCAGATTGCCTTTTGGGTTGCCAATCCATAGCTTTGGCGGGAGGCTTGCAAAGGCCCCTGGGAGGGGAGGGTTGGGTGAATTCCGGGGCGGAAGGTCAAGCAGTGGGCAGGGATGAGGCTGGGGAGTGTGGGCCTCACCTGGAGGTCTTCAGGGAGCCCTGGGTGGCTTTCCAGGAGGAGCTACGGGGTCAGATCTGCGCTGACCTGCTGCTGCTGCTGCTGCTGCTGAAACCCAGCTCCTGTGCCGTGTCTGCAAGGGAGACGCATTCCACGCTGTCCTTGGAGACTCGGCGGGGTTGGCGGGGGTCCTCAGGGCTCAGATTAGACTCCAACGCCGCAGCGAAGGGCTTCCAGCCCCCAGGGCCCCTCTCCTGTGCATGCCTCCCCTCCTGGCCGCTGTCCTGCCTGTTGGCGCTCAGGGCGGCCGTGGAGGAAGGCTCCTGGCTGTCCCACAGCATCACGCCGAGGCACAGAGCGGAAAGTGACTCACACTGCTCTCTCCTGCCGGTAACACACTGGTTTCAGAGCCGCTGTCTGGTCTTCCTGCTAAAGCTGCCCCACGTGGTGGCTGTACCGTGTCCTCTCCCTGGTGGGGAAGGGCTCAGGAAGGCGGAAACCAGCACCAGGGAGGGCCCGGGCGCCGCCACACTGAGGGGTGTGCGCGCCTGCGTGTGTGGGGGCTGGAGGAGCCCCTGGAAGACACATGAGGTCCAGGCCCGGTCTTTGGGGAGTTTAACACATGGGGCTGCCTCCTGAGACCAACCTCTCCTGACTCGCCGTGTGACTTCCGGCAAGGCCTCCTGTCTCTCTGAGCTGATTTCTGGGAGATAATGAGGGGTTGGCAGGGACAGTTCAAGATTTCCCCACTCCACCCATCAAAGTCACCCTTTGGATTTCAGAGATTCCAGTACACTGTCCGCTCTCTGTTTGGGTCTGTCTCTGGCTCAGAAAATCACCCCCATCACCTTCCCTGTCACCCCTGCTGTTATGGCCGCGTGCTGCCCTGCTTGGGACCCGGCACAAGTGACTAAGCATTCGTGCGGTCACAGGCCCCAGGTGGTCCCGCCTCCCTGCCTGGACTGTGTGCCTGCGAAGACGGGGACCATGTCTACCTTTGTGTCCTCCCAGACACTAGTTCAGGGCCAGGCACAAAGTAGGTGCTCAGTAAACAGAGTAGCTATCGTTAGGATGATGATGAAGAATAAACCTTGGAGGGACAGCAGCTGGAGTGCAAGGAGCTCTGGCCAGACAGCAGGCAGCCAGCGTTCTCCCTACTAGTTGGCTGGACCGGCTCCCTATTTTCCCCCTAGAGAAAGTCCAGACTTCCCAGTCTTCAGGCCGCGCCCCTCTGGGGAGAACTACAATCCCCAGAAGGCTGCGGGGGTGGTGCCTCCGGAGCTCGCCCCGCCCATCCCGCCATGGAGCGCAGCATCACGGGAATTGTAGTTTAGCCCCGGGGAGCCCACGTCCTCCTCCCGCCTCTCTCCCGCGCTGCTGTTGGTGCAGTTGAGAAGCAGCTGGGTGCCTGTGGGGCTCGGGGCTCGTGGTTAGGGGGTGGAACGAAGGCCTCTCTCCCCTGGGGGGTCCCCACCCATGGAAGGCCCTTTGAATTAACCCCCACGACTCCGGAGATCCCTGGACAGCTCCATCACGTTCTCCTGGGAGCCCTTTAAGGGGCGGGGCTGGGTGTCTGCCCCATCCGCGATCCTCAGGAACGTCAGCCCCCAGCGGAGTCCGATCTCGCGCTTTAAAACCCATGATCTCACTGAAACCTTTCCAGCCTCCGCTGGCCAAGCATCGGTTGTCAACTCTATGTCTGGCCCTTTGGGAGGGCGCGAGCCGTTCAGCCATTGCTAACACATCAGATGACCCCAACCTGAGTATTGGGGAGGGCGGCACGGGGGCCTGAACGAGGCCCTGGGACCGTGACATCGAGACAGGGCCTGGGTTGGCCAGGTCAGGGGCAAGGAAAGGTGTTCCCATCAGAAGGAACAGAATGAGGGAGGGCTCTGGGGCCAGAGGGGACTTGGGGCTTTTGGAGAAGCAAAAGGGGCGGAGCTGGAGTGCAGAGGGCAGTGGGGAGGGGGACAGTGAGAGGGGTGGTGAGTCCACTCCCGGCATCTGAAGGACCCGGAGCCCCAGTGACGAATGTCCATTTGATCTCGAATGAACGGGGGACTGTTTCTCAGGCAGGATGGCTGGCCAAGCTTGGCCAGGGGTCAGCGGCTGAGCCTGGACTTAGCCCAGGGATCCTATTTCCAGGCCTCGGCCTGTCCCTAGGGGCAGGGGATGTCCCAGTGCAGGGTGGAAGCAAAAGCTGGCCCGGGGCTGTCCCAGGAGCCTGGCAGGGAGTGGGGGTGCGGGAAGGTGCAGCACCCCGGCTACTTGGAGGGAAACTGAGACTCCTGGCAAATTTCTGCCGAATGAGCTTCTTTCTGCGTGAGATCCAAGAAAAGCCTTTTCCTTCTCAGACTCTTCAACTGTCAGGAACCAGCCCTGGGAAATAGGGGAGGGTCATTTTCACACCCTCCCCCACCCCAGATGTGGCAGGAGCAGGGAGGATTCGGGCCAGATGTTGGGGGACCGGAGGCCCGGCCAGTGGCCCAGGGGCGGGAGTGGCTGTGTTGGGAGCTCTGCTGTTGGAAAGGAGCCCTGAGTGGGCCAGGCCCTGGTTTCCCCACCCTGGTGCTGACGGCCACGAGGCCCCAGAGGACATGCTCTCGGGCTCTGGTCGCAGCTAAAGAGTCAGGCGGGAGGCCGGGCCTCGGTGCTGACAGCGCCTGGGCTGGGCTTCCGTGGGAAACGTGACAAAGGGTTCTCGGCCCGCTCTCCGAACCCTCTGCCCAGAACCCGGGCTCCCTGCCGGGGGCCCTGGTGCCTCCGGACTTCCAGGGAGTGTTGTGGACACTTGAGAAAGCCTGTCAGACACGAAGCCCCCGTGCCCCATCGGAACCTCCGGGGGTCTGTGCTCTGGATGAGGAGGGCATCTCGTGTGGCCTTGTCCCCCACGAGATCAGAGGCCTGGCTGGCAGTGGTTTGTCTTTGATTAATAAAAAATGGGGAAGCAAATCAATTACCCCTTCAAAAATGCAATTCACATGGTAGGAAAAGTATCTCCGAGCATGGGGACCCCTTCTTCAAGAAAAGATGGGATCGCACAGGAAGTGTTGGCCTGTGACCCAGCCCCCCCCAGTTCTGGTGGGAACTGTGTATTTGCGCTTAAACAGGGAGGGGACTCTGAATCTCTAGCAGGGGTGTCCACCCCGTGGCCCGCGGGCTGCACGCAGCCCAGGATGGCCTGTGAATGCGACCCAACACAAAATCGTAAAATTACTTAAAACATCATGAGACTTTTTTGTGATTACGTGTCACAGTGTATTTAATGTGTGGCCCAAGACAACTCTTCTTCTTCCAGTGTGGCCCAGAGACGCCAGAAGGGTGGGTGCCCCTGTAAGGTGAAAAATAACTCAGGGTGTGTGCACCCACGAGGAGGCAGGGGGAAGGGCCTTGTTCCTTGGAGGTCTCTTCTGCTGCAGTGGGGCTCTCGGCCCTCTGAGATTGGGTTTGTCTCCACCTGAATCCTCACCCCTTTGGCGGGATTTCCGGCCTGATGCTATGGAAACCAAATGCTTTTCCCCCAGTGCCTGCTGGTCTGGCTGTACGGGAACCTCCCAGGAGGCTGGTTAAATGTGGACACTCGGCCCCTCCTGCGCTGAGCTCGTGATGCCGGGGGGCCTGAGGGGGAGCCTGGGGACTCGGGTTTCCAGGCGGCTCCCACGGCAGCAGCGTGGGGTGTCCAAAGACGGGGCCACCGTCCTCGTGCGACAGGGCGCGGCGAAGTGTGGAGCACACAGGTCAGGCTCACCCGGAGCCGGGTTCCGGGCCAGCTCAGCCCTCACTGTGGGACACTGGGCCAGTGACATCTCTTCTCCTGTCCCCAGGTCCTTGTCTGTGAAGTGATTACAAGGGCAGTGGCCTGCCACGGTTGCTCAAGGCGTGCAGTGTTCAATACCGGCGGCTATTGTTGTCCTTGTCGCTGTTATGGGGGGGGGACAGGAGGCGGCTGTCGGTGACCCCCCACCTAAATGGCCCCAGGCCCCTCAAGTGCTCGTGATGGGATGCGCAGTGCCCTCCCCTCCGGTGTGGAGGGGGCCACCCTCCAGAATCAGGGCCAGGGCGGGAGGGTCCAGGCCTCCTCACCCGGAGTCTGGGGTGTGGCCGGGCACATCTGCCCCGTGGGGGCGGGTGGGACAGGGTGTGCCCTGGTGGCCCCTCCACACCCTGTTGGCATCTCCTCCTTGGGAGAGTCCCCCCCCCCTGCCGTGCGCACCACCCAGGCGGAGGGCCGGCTTCCAGCACAGAAGACACCTTCTGGGGGCCATCTGGCCACACACGCTGCGCACCCGGCTCCTGGCGCTGTCTTTACCCCTCAGGTTCCTCTCGGGGCCGAGGAGCCGCAGGTCTGCGCTTCCCTCTGCAGCTGCGGCCTGCCGGTCCCGCCTGGGGGTGAGCCTGGGGGTGAGCCTGGGAACTGGGGGTGTGGCTGTTGTTTCTGCTTCCCCCACCCTCACCCTCGGTTTCTTGGTTTGAGTGGTTCCCTGTTCCCCACTGGGGTGGAGCTTGTGGTCCTGCCCTTGCCTGGCTGGGTGGGTGCCATCGTGGGACCCACGGCAGGCCAGCCAGAGGCGGGTCTGGGACACGGGCTCAGGGAAGGGGGACATGAAGCTCTTTGGGGCCGTAGCCTCGGCTGGTAGGATGTCGGGGCAGAGTTGCCTCGGTCGAGCACATGGACAGCCTGGACGGGAAGACGCCAGCCCAGGGGAGAGAGGGGGAGGGAGACAGAACACCGGGTTCCAGCTGTGCCTGAGCCGGTCTTCCTGCTGGGCTTATAGCAGTTCGAATCGGGGTCTGTATTGGCCGCTAGTTCTGACTAATGCGGAAAGCTCATTTCGCCCGTTTGTCTGTCCCTCTGTCCACCCGTTCGTCCCACATTTGCTGAACTCCAGCTCCGTAGCAGCCCCTCTGCTGGGACCTCAGCCGTCACAGTCCAAAGGGGAGGTGACCAGGTGACACAGCTTTTTAGCGCCTGGGAAACTGGGAGCTGCCGCAGGGTGAGCCCTGGGAGCAGCGGGCGGGAGAGTCTGTGCTGTGGGGAGGGGGAATCTGGGCAGGCTTCGTGGAGGAGGTGATCTCTCTGGGCTGGGCTTTGAGGCACAGGCAGCATTTCACTGGTTTGAGCATCAGGAAGGGGACCTTTCAGGGCAGAAGGAGTGAGGAGAAGGCAGGTGGAAAAGACCAGGCGCCCCTGGACCCTGCTGCCTGGGGGCGGGGGAAGGGGAAGGGCTGGGGATTTTGCGAGCCATGAGGGCCAATATGACTGTAA